AGCGCCGCTACATGTAGCGAAGCTATTAGTTTAACTACATTTTCCAGTAGCTTGACCGTAGCGTCGCTGCTTTATTTATCAAGTAACTTTCCTGTAGCAACGTTATTGTTTTGATCAAGTAGTGACGTAGCTTCCACAAACGCTACAAAATCCAGGGCATAACTAAGTAATGAAACCAGGTTTTCTATTTTGAAACAACAATCAGCCACAAGCTACTGTAAATAGCAGTTTCAGCTGACGCTCTAAGTGGCGTAGTAGCACAGGCACACTCAGTAGGGTTAAACAAGCGCACCCTTTCCGAGGCTGTCGTTCTATTGGCTGGAAAGGTTGCTAGGCGACGATCCAACTGCAATCCGAGTGAGGGCAAAAAAAAATCCTCAAGCAGAGCCTACGGGTTTGCGAGCGTATCTGAGACTCAAACAGAGCGCGAAGAGGAGGCAAGTGAGAGGAGAAAATATCTGTGCAAGAAGCATTAAATCTGAGAGAAGAAACAAAGATTTGAGAATGAAGAGAAAATATTTGAGAGAGAGCGCATGTTTTGAGTGTGAGCATTATAAGTTTTGAGTGCAAGAAGATGAAATTCTTTTCTCAAATTGAAATTATGTGCTCTTGCATTATGGCAGGATAATTCTCCCATATGTGCCACTAAGATACTCTAATTAGAGAGAAGTAGTGAAACTTCCATATTGTATTTCCATGGCCTAGTTTACCTGACAGGATAATTACATAAATCTGTTTTTAGGTATGGAGGAACAGCTCTAACGTATATAAAATAAATAAATAAATGCTCAATAAATAAATAAATAAGCATTCAATTAATTGCCTCCAAAAATACAATGAATAAATATGTAGGTAGAAATTAAATTATATGGTGAGACATAAATATATGTATCACTTAATTAGCTTCTTTATTTTTTCACCTTCTTTAAACAGTTTCATTTGTTACTTGAATCAACTGTTTAATTGAGGTCTGAAGAAGTTTTGCTCTAAGGGAGACCCTAAAGAAATAAGATGCCTTTTGTAGGGTTTTGTTTTCCCTAGAGATGTCCATTGAACGCAAACTCATAGCCATGTCTCCATGTGTAGAACACTACACAGTACATTTAATTTGGTTCTAATAACAGCAGATTGTTTACTAGTTTGTCTACTAGTAATTACTTCAGTTTTTATTTTAATATGCTGATCATAAAGCAATGTTTACACTGTGTTATGTCATTGGCTGATCTTTAATAAATATTTTAACCAGTGTATCAGACTCATTTTGAATTGACATTAGGTTGGTACAACATTAAGTAGCTTCTGATGTAGTTAAGCTACTTTTAACACATTAGTGTAACTTAGCTTGCTATAATTCTTTAGGTGGTAGCTTTGGTGTAGTGAAGCTTAATTTATTGTTGAGTAACTGATAGCTTAGCTCACTACAGTACACTGGACAAGTAGCTTGCCCAACACTGCTAGACTGTTAGTTCGATATAAGGGAGTGCTCCAAGAGAACTATAAAGTCAAACACCAAAAAAACAGTTTTAAAAGCGAAGAAGCAGGCTGTCATCAAGCTTTGAAATTGGCTCTCTTTAACTCTTTAGAATCTATTTAAATGCCTTTAAAATGTCCTTTGCAATAAAACCAGCCATTTCAATGAGCTCTACCATTTAAAAAAAAAAGAAAAAAGAAATGGCTTGCTAAATTTAACCAAATAGCTTCTAACTAAATAAGATATTTGTGTCTGTTATGAGTGCTATTTTTGGTTCAGAGATTAAACTTAAAGTGAACTCAAACTCTTGCATCAATTCTTTTTTTTATTATTATTAAATAATTGTGCTTTCTATACTTATGCCACCAGATAAAAAAAGGGAAAAGTTCACATTAAAATTACATTCTCTCCACTTTATGAAGGATTTCATTTGGGTTATTAGTCAAAAATGGACAATTACAGTTTATTTGGTAATTCAAATCCCATTTGTGAAAATCTAATGAAAACCCACAGAAAGCCACACTCCTCATACTCCAAATGCTGAGGTTATTTATAGACGGGAGCATTTAAATCCTCTGTTTAATGGTTCTATTTTCAGGTGACACTATCAGATTTCCCTAAGAAACGACTCAGTCTGTCGCCGTTTCATCTTGAACAGCGTGTTTAAAAGAACAAAAGCTGCACTCACAGTGGTATTGCTGACGGGAAGAAATGTGGTAGAATTTCTTTTGTTGGGTGAGCATGCATGTTGGAATTTAATTCAGCTGTCTCTTTAGTGGAGCTGAAATTGCAAAAAATGAGCCACCAGCAAAATCACAGTGAAAATGTCTATTAATCAGCACCAATGTTCCTGTTATTTTGCACTCCAAATTGCAGTAGCATCAGCATTATCCTCAGACTGCACTTATGTAATTGTGGTTTGCATCTACGTCTTCTCATCCCAGCCTTCGTAATCACATGGAGATTTTCTTTTTTTCGTTTCTGGTGTTTGCTTCGCAGGAGGAAACGGACTCCACTGAAGGCAAACCTGGTGATCAGATGAAGAAACCGAAAGGACCAGCACCGCAGATTCGACAGAAACAAAAGAAAGAGAGCAAAAAGAAGAGATAAATGTGTCTCTGTGTCCTCTTTTTGTATTCCGTTTGTGTTTCACAATTAGAAACTAGTCACAGTTATCAAAATAATCCACTACATCTAAGACACTTCAGAATGATCCTCAGCTTGATCCGGTTGTCAGTCATCACACTCACAATAAATGCCAATTGTTAATACAGCTGCATATTTGATAGTGTTTGTTTTTTATCTTGTCATTTATTATTATGTTGATGTGGATTAAAACTAATAGAAAGCCTCTTAGCTATAAATACTGAATTAATATTTCTTAAAACAGTCTGTTTAAATAAGTAGGTCAGGTTTTATTATAGCTGTTTTTCCCAAACCGATTAGCTCTGCCTCCTGCTTGCAAATATGTTTTTAGATCTCTGTTAAAATATGTTTGTATAAAAGAAAATTGAAATAATATTTGCTTGTTCAAGTCTCTATGTATGCAGTTTTATTTTAAGTTTTTCAAATAGGTAAGTTATGTTTGTCTTAAAATTTCCATTTTATTTGTTTAGGTTTCTATATCAAATCTTAACCTGAAATATAAGCTGCATTGGTGCCATATACTGATTTTATAAAAAAAAAAAAAATTCAAGCCATTTTTTAACGTGGGGGGGCTGTTCAAAATGAAATCGTAAAGATTTTTAAGCATAATATCATTAAAGCCGAATTATAAGAATAATGTTGCATATAGATTACGAATTTGACTCTGAAGTCCTTTAATGTAATTTATTTTTCAAAGAAACGTGGATACTGAAGTTGCCCAAGTGTATGTTCAATAAATCCATTTCTGTTTAATTCTAGTCATTAAACTGCATTTTATGTAAAAATAATAGTTGGTTTTATCAAAGTAATAGCCAACAATTGCCATTTAATGTTAAATATAATTTTTTTTTTTTAAAGTGTCCTGTCTGGCAATGTGGCAATAAGAATAATTGTCTTGATGCCAAAGAGAGCCAAACAGATTTTAATTTCACAATTGGAGCAGTACGGCTATCGCCATAGTTTTCCGCTTTATTTACGCATATAAATAGCTTTATTATAATTCATGCAGAGAGTATTGCAGATTATATGGACACTGCAATTTAAGTAGGACAGGAAAGAAAAAGGAGAAAAGATGAAAGAAAGGAGATAAAAGGGAGATAACGATAAAACATCTCCAGTCTGCTTCATCACCTGCAAAGAGATGTAAAAAGTTCCATACTAGTTATAAAACTGCATTTTAGGTAAAAATAATAGTTGGTTTTATCAAAGTGATAGCCAACAATTCCCGTTTTAAATTTAAATATGATTTTAAGTAGTGATGAGCAGAGGCGTAGCCAGAAAATAACCAATAAAAATTGAGGGGTGGCCGAAAGGGACCAGAACCTCAGGGTCAATCTACTTTGTTCCAACAGGAACGAGCACATCCATATTTTCTAAATAAAGAAAAACTATACTTTCCTGAAGCCTTTGCTAACAAATAGATGCATATATTTAAACATCTATGCTGTGTAGATGAAAGGTATAGTGGACAAAATTCTTTCAGGTTTAAGTTCTGGGGCGAACATATTTAAATTGTCATTACCTACTTTTATCAATAATCATTCTGCAAAAAAAATGATATTTAAATCTACTAATACCCACATTTAATGCATTTTTAAGTTATTATTAAAGTAGTTATTTATCTATGATTTCACTGAAGACTTGAAGAGGCACATCATTTTATCTTACCCCTAATAAATCAAAATTTAGTTCTGAAAAGAGCATGAATTCTGTATCTATCATCTTTAAAGTTTGTAAATTGATGTGCATAATTAACTGCAGGGTTTCTGTTGTCAAGTAGTTAATATATGAAAAATTGTAATGTTTAATAAGTTTGCACATTCCCCTTCAGAGTATTACTGCTGCCACAGTCTGTATTAGAAGGAAAAAATGGGCCCCATCTAGCTCCGTCCCTGCTGATGAGGCATAGGCTAAATTCTAATTTATAGAAAAGTACCAAATTAATTTTACTTTATTTTAAACAGTTTAAGTATCTAGACCCTAAATTTAAAGAGACATCCACAGAATGATATTTTTTGTTGGTCTACTACATAAATTCACTTAAGTGTAAAATGCGTCACGTTTCTTGTCGTAAGGAAAGCGTGTTGCTTAGCAACCGAACCCATCGCCCAAAACTAAGCTTACCGCTTTTTATCTCATAAAAAAGCTGTGATTCAAGAGGTGCCGAACTATTGAGTTAATAAAATAAAAAGAAATACAATCGGCCGTGACGGCTGTAAGACATTAAAAACGGGTTAAAATGTGTTTTCTGCAGGAAACGCAGCAGCGACTTTCTACAGAATCTTGCGCAACATGATGCGCATTCCCAAAGAACCTTACGCCGCTGCGTAAGAAAAAAAAGCGTAAACGATCTCCGTTTATATTTCGCTCCCGTGTTTCGTCAGTGATGCGCTTTCCCCTGGTTTCCTCCCCCAGCTCAGCCAGTCCTTTGCTCACTCACTCACTCCACCACTCCTGCTTCGCTGTCGGCTCCCCCCCCAGCTGAACAGTGTTCGCCCACCGCAGCATAACACCGGCTGTTTTTGCCCTCCTGCTCCTAAAGCCAGCCTCTCATCATGACCTCCTCCTTCTGCGACTCTACTGAGATTCGCTAAATGGGCCTGGCGGCTGGCCTGAGGTTTCTATTATTGTTTTAATGAGGACAGCCGTCCGGATCTGAGCGGTTCTGGCGGTGCGTCTCTGAATCTGAAGACGCGTTAAAGGTACGTTCAGTTTATTCCAGCTTCTGTTTATTATTTTTTTCTCATAGAGGCAATGCTGTTTGGATATTTTAGTTGTTTTTCCTAAAGATCATGGCTTTAAATTTAACAGTGCGTATATAATAGATACAGCCGGTGTAGGATCCCCACGCACCGAGTGGCATTTCATTGTTACCCAGTGAGCGTGGATCCAGTGCCATCATCCAATCATCCAATCTGTGCAGCAGGACGCATTTACTACACCCCTTCAAATCAAACGCGTAAAATGCAATGGTTCGCGTTTGATCCTCGTCGGTCCTTAACATTCTGGGGGGGAAAGGCCAACATAAACTGTGGCACACGATTTAAAAGCCAACTACTGAGTGGAAATTCAAAATGGAGCAGAAACAGCACCTGTTTTGATTCATCAGGCCGCAAACAACCTTGTTTGTCGGATCCAAGACTCTCTTCTTGTTTTGATCTCATTCATAAATCTTTTTTTTTATTATTCTTTATCTGGTATGGATCATTCAGAGAAGCAGCCAGTGGTGTTATTTTATTTCTTTTTTCTATGGCTATGATTATTTTCCGTTTTTTTTCCTTCCATATTCAGTTTGACAGCTGCTGCTCCCAGCTGCCACCCCACCCCGTGTTTTCTTTGAAAGCAGCTTTGCTGACAACTGGGGTTTTAATCTCGTAGAAATAGAATTTTTAATTGTGCAATTTATCTGTTTCCAGTTGGGTTTGGAGATTTTTTTTGCTTCCAGCTAATTTCCACAAACCACTGGATTCAGTTTTTACTATGAACAAGTTAAAGGATTCCAATGAGTCTGATCTTCAAACCTGAGCAAAAATCAAGCATCTTATTGGGTTGCCACAAAATAAATCTAACATGTTTTAAAAAGTACAGAAAAAAGATAGATAATACTTTAATTTTGTTTTTGATGTAGGCTGATCAATTTTAATTATTAGTTCCAAACATTAATTTATGTGTTTTCATTTCCTTAAAGCTAAATCTCATAATCTCCAGTTTTGTTAAGTAAATAAGGAATTGCAAACATTAGAAAATATGTTTGTTAGACCTTTAAATCTGTTTAAATAAGGCTTTCTGGTTATTCCGTAAATATTTCACTGTACAAATCAAACAAGCTGATGTTTTAGCATATTTTCTGGACTCTATTCAGATTGTTGTATTTGAATTTGACCAAAAATGTTATAGAGTATATGTAAATATGAACAGTTTTATTATGAGTTCACATAATACAAATACAAGATTCTTTATTTTATTGAGGGATCTGTTAAACCAAGCTTAGAGTTTATTTTACAAGCTGACCTTACAGTTAAAATTTGTTGAGTTAATGACTTGTTGTCCATTCCTGATACCAGAGGATCATTGCGTCCTGTAAAATTAATCATGCAGAAGCAGGCGTTCCTTATGGTCTGGATGAGTGGCTGCAACAGCCTTCAGTCAAAGATGGATGGAATGGAAGCGTTTTTTTGTTGTTGTTGTTTTGTTGTTCTCTAAAAGCTTCCCAGGTTTGCACGTTTCTTACTATGTTAGGTTAATTAAGGAAAGATCTTAAAGGGCTTGTTTTATTTTGTTGTGCCCAAATACAACCTCACTTGATGGCATGGTGAAATTGTCTTTCCCTTACGTCTCTGTGTCACTGCACATCTTAAAGCAAGGGAAGACGGCACTGTTAATGTCCACATTTCCTCTTGTTTTGATCTTTGGAAGCCATTGTGGGCCAAACCCAACCCCCCCCCCCCCCCCCCCCCCCCCCCCCCCCCCCCATTCCCTGGGGTAAACTGTAATTTACCCATTGAACTGAAACACTGTGTGGTGCCCCTTCAGTGTCTGCAGCACAAAGTGGCAACTGCTACTGTCTGGATGAGGTGGATTTTTGTGGTTTTGCTGCTCATGTAACTTTTACCGTGAATCCTCTTCAGCTTTAGATTGTGCTTAAAGTCCAGTCTAAAAACTGCAGCTCCACTAAAGGAAAGTGTGCATGTGTTGGTTTGTGGAGGATTAAATAGTAGGAATATCTGACCATATATTTGATTATAGTGAAGGGATCTTTAAATCCAAACTTGTTTTTGCCGTTCTTTCCTCTAACGCTAACTATAGTAGCCCTTAAGAGACTTAAAGCGTGGCATTAAAGCATATGAGGCAAATTTTCCAAACATTTCTTCACCAAGAATACACATCAGGTCCTAATGAGAAACTAACCTGGTTAGAAGTAAAAACAATAACTCAGATGTTTAGCCTATATGTAAGTGGAAAGATGGAGTGGGATCTTCAGGAATTCCTTTAAACTAGACAAGTTCACTGGTTCTTTGACTACTTTCAGTTTTAGTTATATTTCCCCTTTCGGAGGTGAGAAATGGGCGATTTCTCAGGTCGTCTGTGAACAAATTTGAGGTGTTTCCGTTTTCTTTTAAATGCGACAGTTTCTTTTTATTAAGTCATGCTAGAATAGATTCTTTATAGAATGGGATTCACATTTAAAACTGCACTGAATCTGCTTTTTATGCTTAAAAAAACAACTTTTTTGATGGTTCAATTGTAAAAAATGAATGCTGCTTCAGGTTCCTTGGGCCACCATATATGACTAATTTTCTATAATTTGTATTGACTGTTTAAATGGCGTTTGAAGTAGTGATTTTTGGAAGGACACTTGGAAAAGTGTCCTGTCAGTGTGATTAAATATTGAAATATCCTTCAGCTGAAAGATCTTGTGTGAAATATTTGGTTGGCTTTTATATTTTTGGTGTAAAACTTTCCATATGTTTGGTCTCTAGACCATAGGGGTACATTGGTGAATGAAGCAGAGGTCAAGATGTTCAGAAAGTTTCAGTTCAAGTTCTTAAATGTTATTACGCTATAAGCACTAGACATGGACTTGTTTGAAAAGTTAAACTTCTGTTCACCTGATTTTAATTCTGTTTATTTATATAGAACCAATTCACATCAGATATCATCTCAGGGGAAATTACAGAGACGATACAGTCAGATTGGTTAAACGTTTCCATCTAGGAAAACCAGTTGACTCGTCAGCCATCCCCCCACACCAGGCATGCATGCAGCAACAGTGGAGTGGAAAAACTCCTTTTAACAGGTTCTAAACCTCCAGGAGAACCAGGCTCAGTGTGAGCGGCCATCTCCTGAGGCCGACTGGGGTTAAAGGAAATTGAAGCAGACATACAAAACGGAACTGTTATTGTAAACTAGCTACACAGTCAGCCACGTACTGGAAAAACAGCCAGGCAGATGGCCTCCAAATCAGTTCTCATGTGAGCGGATGTAAGAGAGTACATACAGTCTGTCATAGTAAGAGAAACAGGCCTAAACTGCAAAAAAAGGCCACACTCCAACATCTATCACCAAAGGTGCTGATATTTCAATCCAGAATGTTGTCATAGTCAATCGTGAACAGATCAGATGAAGCGACTATGACAGGATAAAAACTGAGAAAGCATAAAGTTATGGGTGGAACGAACCAATGCTGCAGAATGAAAGGCGTCCCTTAGTCCTCCAGCAGTTTAACCTTATAGCAGCATTAGTATTGAAAATATTTCTGACTATTTTTATTCTATCACAATTACTATATTCCCTCAACACTTTCTGCAAGTGCATTAAGTTACTAAGCTTAATCCCCCACTGTCCGGATGTTACAGCTAAGAGCAGGACCTTGCACCTTGTTTGAACATGTTTTGTTTTGCAGAGATATTTGTGTCAGTGTAGCAAAAAGTACTGGAATAATAACCATCAGAAACACATCTTAGCTTCACTATGACCCCATGGAGGAGATGTCGCCTCACTGAGGTCGTTCACTAAATGATTCATGCCACCATGCCAATTTACCAGTCCTACGAATCCTTTTAATGAAGCTTTGATCTGCTGCTGTATAAATACGTCAAATACAGAGGGCATAAATGTCAGCAGGATACCGCTTGAGGATCATTTTGCAGGGCTATAGCTTTGAATTTTAATGTAAACTATACTATAAAGACTCCTTATAATGAATGTGATCTAGAAGAGCAGTTACAGAAAAGAGAAAATATGTGAGTTTAAACAAAAAAAATTAAAGGAAAACAGTTGGTGCATGCATGTAAAAGGAATGAATTTATTAGCCTCATCTTCATGTATCTTCAGTACTTGATAGGTGTTGGTACTTGCCTGCTTTCTTAACCTGCATTCCTGTCAGCTATCTGAGCGCTCTTCCTTTATGCTCTCCTTCTCCTGCCCATAATTTCTGTTCTTCACTCTCAGTATTCAGTTCATGTACAGAAATGGGTCATCGAGTTCATAAGACCCCATCAGGTCTGAGACGGTAAGGAAGACGGGGGACTGATGAACGGGAATCAATATGAAGTGCTCTTGAACTCCATTGTGAACTAAAGGTAGCTCAGAATGTGCTTTTGAGTAAACCAGGATTTGGATTTCCCTTTTTTTTTACTTCTTTTTTTATATCTCTCATACAGGAAAATATTTATATTCTAATTCAAATGTTATTTTCCTGCATACATTGTCAATAAAAGTAGTTTGTATTTTGAAGACGACAGAAAAATCAGAAATAAAACAATGAGACAGCAACCTAAGAATGCTGTTATTTAGGATTTATGCTTGAAGTGAAGATGAAAGATGTGAAGCAATCAAAGCAACAGGAGCTGGAAGGAGCTTTTGTTTCGTATCCACCCTCTTTGTTAAAGCAGCACACACACACACACACACACCTTCATCTCCCTCCCTACTTCCTTCCTCCTGCCCTGCCCTCCTGCTGCTCAGGTGGCTGTTCGTGTTGCAGTCTCTGGCAGCCTAAGCGATGCAGGCAGCTTGTCCCACGTTCCTCTACACCCCTGTCATATATTGAAACACTCGCAGACAAGTTGTTCTTTTTTTTTATCTAAAATATTGCAAAATATTCTGTTATTACATTTATATCTTTACTTTAAAAGACACTTTCAAATATATCCACACTTTGGTGCTTATAGATATTTAGCATATTACACTTCCATATTAG